CCACAGAGTCGCCTCTCAACATTAAAGCAGCCAAAATCCATAACACATTTGCATGTCATCGACCGAAAAAGACTCGGGGCTTAACCCTCGCACGACCAGGCCATTTCTCATAACACGAACGACCAGGGGGGGGGGGTTGTTACGACCCCCCCCCCCTGGCGTTTCGAAACGGAAGGTCGTAGAGCTTAGCGAAAAAAAACAACGGATTGCTCTCAACGAGATCTCGCGATTGGTCGTATATTTTTTGGTCCTAGGTCAACATTTGACCTACTTATGACCGGTCAAAGGTCAAATTTTCCGAAAAAAAATAAAACTTTTTCAACTTTCCGCGGCGATTGCGGCAAAACGGTGGGAGATATCGACTTGAAACCTTCACTATCGTGTTCCTTGATCAATTCTCTATCGTTTGGTATGTATTTCGTTTCCCTAGCTCTAAAAATGGCGCGTTGGGAGCGCCGGAAGTCGGCAAGGTCACAGTCGGCGGCAGAAATTCGAAAAATCAAAATTTAAATTTTTGAAATCTGATTGTATTTTTGGATTTGGGAGGTCCATTTGCTCCCTATAGAAGCTAATATTGCTGCATATTCCCATTGAGGTGACAAGAATTAGCAAAATAGTGGTTCGGGCGCTTTTCAAAAATAGTACCGGACGCTGTTCCTCTTGTGACGTCATAGCTCCGTGACCTGACCTGACCCGGTCAAGTTTCTTATACCATATGATAGCCAATACTTGCCCCAACATGCATGGGAAGTTTCATCACGATCCATCAACCGATGACCGTACCACCGGCAGGAAACCTCGGGCGTTGGCACTCAGTTTGTGAAAATCCGGCCGGAGGCTGTTCCCTTTGTGACGTCATAACTCCGTGACCTGACATGACCCGGTCAAATTGTTTTATCAAAAGATGCGCAAAGGTTGCCCCAGAGGGTATTGAAAATTTCAGCCCGCTACGACAAGCCGTTTAGCGTGCACTTCGAAAAAACCTCAGGGGGGGGGTTGATACAACCCCCCCCCCCCTAGGCGTTCTAGGGTTAAAGTTCGAAGCATCAAAAGGCCAGAAGCATGCCTGCCTCCTATTATTGTGCAACGTCCATTACCCTTTTGGTTTGTATGCGCAGCCACAAAGTCACCCATAAGACACATACGGATCGGATAACAGTAGATTGGAATGCTGAAATACACTGAAACACATGACATGTTATGTTAGCCGATCAATCCAAGTTTGAACAACAGCTGAAATTCATCGAGGGAGCCAATGTTCTTACCTATACTCGCATACCGCACACACCTCTAGCATACCGGTTGTCTAGCCGACTTTGAAAAATAGTCTCCCCGATCAGTGTTACATGAGCGTTTGCTTTGCTACAAATCCGGTATGTGTCGACAATTGTTCCCTTTCCGGACGCCAGCGTTTTTAGTTTTGTGATGTTGTCGGCTAGCATGGCCATGTATATTGAACTGTTCGATACTGTATCTAGCATGTCAACACATAACAGTAGCTCTACAAAGTTTTACCGAACACCATAAAGACGTAAGCTTACGACACTAAATAGCAAATCCATTTTTTAGCAGCCCAGAAAAAAAATGCTGTCGCCTAGGCTCGAAGTTTCGTTGCTGGCGATATCGATATCCGGAACCTTGGGACCCCAATTCACTTCTACCCCGCCCAGCCTCACTGGCCCCGCAGCAGCCCTCACTGGGTGTGGTCGTTTCCCGTTATGGCGCTCCACCCCCTCTCCTTCCCTCCTTCCCATTCTCATGGCATGACCTGCAAGCTGCAGCTAACTGCTAACCGGAGGTCAACCGGAGCCCGCAAATCACCGACAGCGGGCCGGAACAGGGAGTCGATTCTGTAAACAGGGCTAACAGTCGCCAATTTTAGCCACGCTCTCAAGCGGATTATTAACACGAGGGAGGCGTAAGAATGCGTGTTGTACTCCTAGCCACTTCCTGTCGTAGTCATTATTGTCTTTGTTTAATTTTTATTTTTACTATGCCCGCTTTAGCTTGTGTGCGTATGAATAGTTTGAATGTCTTTTTATGCCTTTCGTTTTTTACAACCTGACCGATGGCAAGGAATAGCCACTATATGTGAAGATTTGCCGGAATAAATTTGTATTGGCTGACCTCTCCGGCGGTATACGAGACTAATCCGTCCTGTTCTCCCCTGGTCAGTACCGGGCCCCTCCTCTTTCTCTGCTGCTTACGAGTGACATATGACACCAAATACCCCCCCCCCCCTCCCGTCCATTTGCAGTGCAGTGCAATGGTGCACGTAGTGCGCAGATTGCTGCAGGAAAGTCCAGGATTAGCCATTGTTTCGAATCGGTCGTGAGTTCGGACTAAATCGGTGTTTACTATGATATAGGCTGGAGCGTAACATTGTGGTAGGTTCTTAGGAAACATAAGACTCGTGTCACGATGCGCCGAACGTGAGAGCAATGTTTACAAATAACCTGCACTAGCTTATGGAGAGAATGCACATTGCATTGAATCCGAATATGTTATGCTTATCCATTACCGTCTGCTTAAGTCTCGGCTAAACCCTTATCCAGAAGACGGGTCCAATGTTGCGCTAGCTACGCAACGTTATTTTGGGACCTTTTCGTATCAATTTCGCTATATTGGCGTTGGACTGGGCCCTGAAACGCTTTAGTTAGGTAGGTAAGTACGTTATGAGACACACCCCAGTCTACAGTTTATTTAGGTATCAGCAACCACTAACGGCTGCAACATCTTTTGACTTGGGAGCATTTTCCTCATCCCACCTAAGTTGATTCGCTATCGGGCCTGTCGCCACGTGTGCACGACTTTATAAATTTGTCGTCTGATACCAACTATCATAAGATATTTTAAAAACTAATTGTAGGTACTTGTTCGAAGATGTTCTTTAACTGAAAAAAATGCTACATCATAACGTCTTTGTTAAAGTGGTTTGGCGCCAGTACATAATAAAAAAGGTATAGGAGGCGGTGAAGTAAAATACTCCATGCCGATTTTTCGGCATCTATGGCTTCAGTCTTCAATAATGTTCCAATCCAAACATCCAGAACAAAAATGGGTGAAATCAATGAAATCAGTCACAACTAAGAACGAAAATATTTTTTTTTTAGCTCGTGAAAGTAAACTGTTGAGATTTTGACAAACTTGTTTTCCCAGTTTCATGTAAAAGACAAACTCGGCTATCATTTCAACTACTGATTTTCACGATGTGTATTCCGTGTATTTTTCTTTCATGACAATGTGTCGCTTTTTACCGTGCGACTGATGTTTTATGCGTTGATGGTACAGTCGGGTACAGGCGTTGATGGTACAGTCGGGTACAGGCGTTGATGGTACAGTCGGGTACAGCCTGAACGATAGGGACTCTTTGTTCATCGGTGCCTCAGCGCTGGCAGAAGCCACCTGGCGCCCGTATAGACTGTGCCGCCTCGCTTGGATGTCAAGCGGCACAGCCTATCCACGCCTTACGACACCGGGCCGAGTCGCAGGATGAGTTTCATCTCCGGTTTCAGGATATGATTTTTCATTGCGAGAAGAATTGGTATGGTTAGGATGCGCTTCGTTCTGTGAGGAATGGGGGGGGATGAGGGGCTCGAGTCTTCCCGGCCAAAAACCCGGAGGGGATCAGCCCCCTCGAGCCCCCCGGCTCCCGCGCCTGGTAAAGAGTTCCTATCCATTAACCCTCGCCGGCCGAGGGGGGGGGGGGCGGGTGCCACCCCCTCATAGGGTTTTTTCGCGATAGCTCCGAACACGCTGGCGATAGAGAGCTGAAACTTGGCATACCTGACCTTTGATTCAAGTCGGATCTTTTGACACAACCGCATTTTCGGGTCAGGTCAGGTCACTGACCTATGACGTCATAAGTGAGCCTCTGCACGGTCTTCAGATGTCGCAACGTCGCAACGCCCTCACTGCCAGAGGAGATGTCACAGGAAAATGAAACTTGCAGGATCTAGTATCCATTATGAGTCTCACAACTTGTATATCTCGGATTTTTCCTAAAGGTCATATGAGGTCAGGTCATTTTCGTGACCTCACCATTATAAGTCAATGGGGAAAAATGAAAACTGCTATTCTGGCGCCGGGAACGATCTCCAACTATCTCAAGCACACAGAATCGTGATTTGATGCATTCCTTGCAAGGTTAGATGCGTCACTTTTGCAATGTTGACCTTGCGTGACGTCATTTATGACGTCATCAAGGTCATATTAGCTTTTCGTCAATAACTCTTCATCGAATTAAGCTAGCGAGTCGGGAAAGCCACCAATGGACTCAGAAAGACCTGCCGAATCGAATGATATGCGACATGACCTCTTTCGACCAGCTTCGTGACCTGGGGGTGCTGACCTGACCTTGACCTGAGGTCAACACCCTAAGTTGACCTGACCCGGACAAAAAGTATATCATTCGACGCGCCTGAGCGAGGCGAACACGATGCTGCCAAAATCGCGGCTCTGCGGCCGTTTTTGCGAAGTTATTCACCAAAAACTGAACCGTACCTTGGGCCACTTGACCTGACCTCAGAGGTCACTGGTTGACCCCTAGGACCTTAAAATCGGGTACCAATCTCTGCGTCTCGTAACGGCGCACACGCTCGTTTTTTCCGCGACGCGCTAGCTTCACCAGGGGCGAAACGGCGAGGGGGGGTCGTACCGCCCCCCCCCCCCTCGGCCGGCGCGTATGTAGAAAACCAATAGGTCCGGCGAGGGTTAAACTGCTAACTGTTACAGACTGTACCTCCTCCATTTCTGAAATCATCCACATGTATCTGCCTAATGCATCTGCTGGTGTTTTCCTCTGATATCTCTGATGTCTCTGAAATCGGATATCTCTGATATCTCAGATGTCTCTGATATCTCTGATGTCTCTGATATCTCTGATGTCTCTGATGTATCTGATGTCTCTGATGTATCTGATGTGTCTGATGTATCTGATGTGTCTGATGTATCTGATGTGTCTGACGTGTCTGATATCTCTGATGCCTCTGCTGCGCCAGATTACTGATCCTGCTGATTGGCCTGCTGGCCGGTTCAGTCCGCGCCAGCATCGATGGTTTCAGCGGCTTCAGCTCCATCAGCTCAAGGTAAGCAGGCCCGGAAAGGTCACGCATGCAAACGGAACATTAACCACACCGGTAATGGCCTAGGCGGGGCTGGACACAGCATATCAGTGAAATGATTCGAAGCTCGGTGTGGTTAACACTTCTAGGTACACGATGACTTCCCTATAGTGCTTTCCAACTGATGCGTTCTTGTATGTACGTTTCAGCTGCAATTTCAGCTGTAAAAAAGCTGCCGCCATAAAATATTTAGGTTCCGTTCGCAGCTAGTTATCATTACCTTCGCTGTTCATATCAGTATCAACCTACTCGCCTACTCGTACAATTCGAGTTAGCCAACAATGAACACTTTTTTATTTGTGTGGTAAGCATACACTTAAAGTGTGTCTTCTTTCCAGCTGTAACTTACTTACCCACTTTTCTCCCGTCCCCAGTGTCATCCACCCGAGTGGTCCGGGCGGCGCGGTGCTGCCGGTGACCGGCCCGACTCTGGTGCCCCCCGGGCACAGCACGGTGCCCCCGCCCGGCGGCACCGGTGCCCACTGTGCCCTGGCGGTAACGGCAGCCGGCGGCCAGTCGTCTCTGGTGGACCACACTCGTAACGTCCTGCTGGGTCAGAGGTGGGTGCAGAGGGCCGACCGGGAGTCGGCAGTGTATGGGAGGGGGCAGAAAGGGATGGAAGGCGTAAACGGTGTGCGGATATAGTCGCTTTTCCCAGCATCTGTCCTCTCGCCATCCCTTTGAGGCCCAGGTTATGAGGTCGTCCGCCTAACAGCCAAAATGATCAAACAAGAAGTCTAATAAAATCTTTAAACTGAAAAACTTGTGGCTCATGATGAGATTACTGAGCGTGTTTCGTATGCGTAAGATTAATCACTCACTCTCATTGCTTTCGGTAATCATTCAAAATGTTTACAAATAAGTTCACCATAATCAGCAAGTTTCAAAATCTGATGACGGCGTTCGCTCATTCTTTACTTTGCAAACGGTCAATAAACAATATTTCTAACCCTCCATACTCCTCAGTAAGAACGCCACCCCCCCCCCTACTCTCCCTTCCCCTCAGCGGGCCCAGTCACATCGGTGGTGGCACGTGCATCACCTACGAGGCGGTGAGCGCTGCGTTCGAGCAGGCGGCGGCGCGCTACCAGCTCCAACCCCAGGCCGACTACAGTGACGTGGAACAGCTCGGTCTCCTCGGCGAGGCGCTGACAGAGGTGGCTGCTTCGCTCGCCCACACGTGAGTGTGCTCATTTTGCTGCCCAGTGCCCATGGGGGCTCAGTCGGCCCGGGAGGGACTACCCACGAAAGGTACGGATTTTTCCGAGGGTGTTCATTTTTCATGCTTCGTTCTTAATCATTCCTTTAGATGTCCACTTTTTCAGATGACCTGTATTTGCCAACCCCTCCAGCAGTAACTCCGGCTGACCCATGTCCTCGCCTTCCCAGGTATAACCTGCCCCGGGAAGCCATTCTGCACGGCCTACCTCTGATAGACACCTACCAGACGAGTATCGCCGCCTTTTGTCCGGCCCACCTGAGCGCCGGTCTACAGTGTGAGGTATCCCGCTACCGGACCATCGACGGCACGTGTAACAACCTGGACAATCCGACCTGGGGAGCGGCGCGCACTACCTTCCGACGCCTGCTGGCACCGCACTATATCGACGGTACGGTGATGGGGAGGGGGGACTGAGGATGGAGAGGGAGAGAGGAGAGGAAAGGGGCGGTGGTAGTAAAGAGGGAGGGAAAAGATGCATGGAGATACAAAGGGGAGGAAATGAGAAAAGGGAGGGAGAGGAAAGGAGTAAGAGAAGAGAGCGAGAAGAGAGAGATAGATGAGAGAGAGAGAGAGAGAGAGAGAGAGAGAGAGTGAGAGAGATAGAGAGCGAGAGAGAGAGAGAGATGGAGACAGACAGAGAGAGAGAGAGAGAGAGAGAGAGAGAGAGAGAGAGAGAGAGAGAGAGAGAGAGAGAGAGAGAGAGAGAGAGAGAGAGAGAGAGAGAGAAGAGAGAGAGAGAGAGAGAGAGAGAGAGAGAGAGAGAGAGAAAAAGAGAGAGAGAGAGAGAGAGAAAGAGAGAGAAACGATAAACAGAGGAAGGCAGAGGAAGGCAGCTGCAGCTCAACAGTGCCTACATTCGTTAGAGGAGAACTTAACCCTCGCCCTGGCAGGGCATTTTTCATAACACGGCCTGGCAGAGGGGGTCGATGCGACCCCCCCTCGCGATTGGCTCCTATGGCACCTAGAAACACCAAATTTGGTAGGTAGGTGGGCCCCCTGGAGTTCTCGCCCCTGTGCAAATTTGGTTGCTCTAGGTCAATATTTAGGGGGGTTTTGGGGGGTATAAATGTAAAAATTTCGCTAAAAACAGGTCAAAAGTTTTCCGCTTATAACTTTTGATCTAATTAAGATAAAGCAAAAAAAGCACCAGTGAACTCAGCACGTCAAGGCGCGTCGAATGATATACTTTTTAGCTTGCTTAAGTGTACTTAAAGTTTTTCTTAAATTTTAAGTAAACTTAAATTTATAAATTAAGTTCAAGTTAGCCAAATTGCATCATATCGCATATCATTCGATTCGGCTGATCACCAGGAACACAATGATACCATTTTTTAAGCTCTAGCGTCATTATGTGCCAAGTTATTGGCAAAAACGTCATTTGACCTCAGTTGACCTCATTTGACCTGACCCATGGATAAGTACACCAAACAAAGAAGCACCAAGTGACCTGCTGCTAAGTACTGTGGTTTCAAAGCACAAAAGTGATGGAACGAAGCGGATATCTCCAGTATTTTCCGAATTTAGTATTTTCCCATAGGCTTAACATTACGACGTAATGACCTCTAACTGACCTCAGGTCAGTGACCTCAAAAAACCCGAACTATATGTTATACAACTCGGTGAACTTAGCACATCCTGAAAGTTTGAAGGAAATCAGTCCAAAACTGTGAGTTGGACAGGTGTAAAAAGAAAATTGAAATTTGACCATGACCTTGTACCGGTTTTTCTGACCTGGTGACCTGACCCAAGGTCACCCGGACCTGAAATTTTCAGGTCATATGTAAAAAGGTTGCCCCATAGGCTGTGCCAAATTTGGCGGCGCTTACGCTATCTTCGAAAAACCTTAGGGGGGGGTCGCATCGACCCCCCCCTGCCAGGGCGAGGGTTAACTGTTAGTTTCCAATTGAGTATATTACATTTTTTTGCTGGTGATCATTCTCTCTTTCGCCTTTCATCTCTTTTTCCCTCTCTTATTTCTCCTTTAAAGCTTGCTTCTCTTACCAACAGTCAAATGTTTTCCCCTATAACTTTCCCCATAGTTTCTTGTCAAGCCCTCTTCGTGCCCCCCTCGTCAGGTGTTTCGGCCCCGAAGGACGTTCTGGCCGGTCTGCCGCTGCCCAGCCCTCGCCGAGTCTCCGGTACGCTGCACAACGACCAGGGTCGACACGACCACGCCGTCACCGTGATGCTGGTCGCCTGGGGTCAGATGATTGACCACGACATGACCTTCACCGCCGAGGTCAAACCCAAGGAGATAGGTCAGTGACGTCAGACGTGATGGGACTGGATCTGTTGTAGATAGAGGTGGGCATCTGTTTTTTTTTGCGACCTAGCTCCATTTCTCGTGATCAGATGTGCATAATTATCGACAGAATGAAACCAAATTTGCGTTTTCGAAGTTGAGCAGTCATTCAACACCTTGCAAACTCCAATAGATTTGCTTTATTTATAAAACCCCACGGTGTTATTATTACGCCTGTGCTGTACCTGATCGAGCCATGCAACTGTTAAAAAGTCCCGAGGAGATTGGGAATCGGATTATATCGTAAAAACGATTGAAAGCCCAATCAATATGCGTTCCTCTTCAACCCATAGAAAAAATCCGTCATTACAAGCATTAGCATCACTCCCATGTAGGTAGCTAATTAACCTCCTTCAGCTAAGGTGCTAAGCACACAAAAAAAAAAAACACAAATAAGTTCTACGCTCAAAGTAAAGGTTCAATTGCCGGAGGGCATGCATGCGCCGACATGCGTGTGTAGTGCGTACCCTGCGCTGCCTCGAGCGAACAATGCCCGTTCAGTGACCCGCCCGACCCACGTGCAGCTAACACAGAGAGGAAAACCCCTCACTTTCCTCTCTCCCTCTCCAAGCAGCGGTCTGTCTAACCAGCGACAACTTAGGTACGTGATAAACATGGATATCTGACATTTCTTCCGGATATAATGCTCTTAATCTTGTCACGCATCGGACTAGTTAATTTTTCTCCAGTTGTATTGCTTGTGTGAGCTTTGTGAAGTGCTCGGAGGCAAGGAAAATGACCGTTGTTGAAGGAGGTATCAGGTGTATGAGGTGGTTGCGGATATGACAATTTGTGTAAACAGAGGTGAAACGGTGGTTTGGATCACTGGTAATTGGGGAACACAAATTTCCCAGAAATATTTCGACTTAGAAGGCGTGACATGACCAATACCTACCATCGTTTCCGTCATTAAGGCTACGGCTATTATGGTCAGCATGTACAGCGTGTACTTTTATCCGCCGTGACAGATAAGGGTCAACGCTGCTCCGTGCTTGTCAATCACTTTTGCTCACCTTCACCCAATCGCTTCAAGAAAGAAGAAAATACTAACGAATTCACAACACATAGTTGTTGACAGGCGATGGGCGACAGAATGATTTGGAATGAAAAAGAACATCGTCAAATAACAGCAGGCAGAGGCCCACTATATAGTACACATATGTACTTACATCGCGATAGTCTATAATTACACGCTCTAACTTACCGAGCCTTTATGCCTTGTTGTTCCAATACATTTACATGAATTATTATTGATTTTGAAGCATTCTTTACCTAAGCGACCCCATACTATGTCTATGTCTTGTATGCATCAACTATGTAAATACGTTTTTTACCTTTCTGGAAAACGGGCACATTATTATTGAAATCAGCGACGGGAGATTCATCGTAAAGTAAAAAACTAACAACTGTCGACTGTAGCAACCACATACCTAGCATCAGATCAACATGCTAATCTCTGTTAGACTTCCCGGTAAAGTTGATTCAGTTTCACCATTATCTCGTTAAATGTTGCGGTTTTTGCCGCATGTTTGCGCTCGTAATATGTGGTTTGATAGCGTGACGTCATTACGCAAACCTGCGTATGAATGCAGCAAGCACGTATGTTTGTAGAGTGAGCAGCAGCTCGACTAAGCAGAGATTCGAGAATCGACAATTCTTCGCCAATCCTTCAATAAGCGCTCTTTCATTAGCATCAAGGGGCTATTTTATCCACGTATCTAGCATCTCATCATAGTTTTTTAAGACGTTAAGAGGTTATGAGCTTGCATACATCGCTTACCCTTTGCTGCTCGGCTCTGGTTTTCCTAGCGTCATTGTTATAGCGTTGCGGGTCTAATGAGGGACCTTCGCCACTCCGTGACAGACTGAATGGCCGTTACGGGCGGCGACCGGGTGTGGTCGACGGCGCAGAGAGACACTCACGACTGTCAGAGGGCCGACAGAGCTCCCCCCAGGGGCCCCTGTGACCGTGATCAGGGCTATAAGTTGGCCTTGGACAGGCTCACATACCTACCTACATATCAGTAGTTTAATTAACTGAAGACGGAACGTTTTCCGACTTACCTGAATTGTTAACAGGCTATTATTCTATATCACAAAACATGCTTGCAAATGGTTATTTCTTGATACAAATATCATTCTGCACAAAGTATATGTCAGTTTTTGTGCAGCACTAAAAAGGTGCTGCTACTCGTTTAAGTCTGACAGCACTAAAATACAAGGTCCGACACAATGGACCTGTATCTGTCTGACGGTATTATCTCAGAGTTGCCATGAGTCTATGACCCTGAGTTAAAGTACAGCGGCGGACAAGGCCGGAGCTACTTGCTTCCACTCCCGCCCATTGCTTTCCTCATTGGCAGCTATCGCTCCAGATTTGAACGGTTTACTTCCTTTTTATATGGCAATACCCCTTCAGTACATTTTTCCAACTAATAACGCTTTTCATATCAGGAATGATTCAGCTGACCGCTACATGTAAACGTTTGTAGAATGTCTGAACCAAACTATCTGCAGTGGACAGAGTGGTGTGATGCGTGATGTATGTATCATTGTAATTCTAAAACATCATGACACACTGTGCCGCCATCATGAAAAACATAACCAGTGTGATGTAACACATTGTAACGTAACACCCCGTGACGCAACACCGCCGTGACGGTCGCCTTTTCAGGCCGTAACGGGCGGCCCAAGATGCCCGACTGCTGTAACGACCCGCGTCACGCCGACAATCCGCTCTGCTACCCCATCGTCATTCCGGCGGAGGACGAGTTCTACGGCCTCTACGGACAGCGCTGTATGAACCTGATCCGCTCGCTGGCCGGCGTACATAACCACTGCAAACTCGGTGAGAAAGGCCTCGTGTTGTAGTGTACATAGTTTTGGTGTGATTGGTAGCCTTAAATAATGTACAGAAAGAGCACGGGCACACATGCAGAACGGTTTTTCAGTAAGAAATGTCACCATACTTTACCAAGTTTACCTCTGATTTACCCAATCAAATAGATACCGTGTGCCTCTCCTCAGGTATAGATGACCCCATCAACCACGTGACCTGTGCGCTTCCCCAGGCCCTCGTGACCCCATCAACACGGTCACCTCCTACCTGGACGCCTCCTTCGTGTATGGCTCGGACGAGGAAACTGCCCGCCGCATGCGGACCTACCAGGGCGGCCTGCTGAAGACGCTGCCCGTGTTCCGCGAGCTCGGCCTCAAGGACCTGCTGCCGCCCAACCTGCACGCGCCCGACGAGGGCTGCATTCGGCCCTCCAATGACATCTTCTGCTTCGACGCAGGTACGAGGTGCTGGGTCTGGTACTGAGATGCTGGTTTTGGCAATGATGACATGACATTAGTGCTATTCTACGAGTAAAGGTCAAACATGTTTCAGTGTAAATCAGTAGTGCAGTTTTTTTTTTCTAAATGCAAACTCTTGCCATTTAGCAGCATTGTGTATGACCAAAGCACGACGGCAACTGTGTTTGCCCGAATATCAAAGTATGCCAGCTCGTATGCTGGATAAGTATCGCTGAGGATTCACCTAACGGCGTCCCTGTCCCCAGGCGACAACCGAGTGAACGAGCAGCTGGTGCTGGCTACAATTCAGACGTACTTTGTCAGAGACCACAACCGGATCGCCACTGAGCTGTCACTCATCAACCCGCACTGGGACGACCAGACCCTTTACCAGGTGGGAGAGAGGGGGTGTTAAACCGAACTGGGACGACCAGACCCTTTACCAGGTGGGAGAGAGGGGGCACAGTGTAGTGTTAAACCGTACTGGGACGACCAGACCCTTTACCAGGTGGGAGAGAGGGGGCACAGTGCGTTAAACCGTACTGAGACGACCAGACCCTTTACCAGGTGGGAGAGAGGGGGGCACAGTGTAGTGTTAAACCGCACTGGGACGACCAGACCCTTTACCAGGTGGGAGAGAGGGGGCACAGTGCGTTAAACCGTACTGGGACGACCAGACCCTTTACCAGGTGGGAGAGATGGGGCACAGTGTAGTGTGAGAGGGGGCACAGAGTTGAACCGTAGTGGGACGACCAGACCCTTTACCAGGTGGGATAGAGGGGGCACAGGGTGTTGAACCGCACTGGGACGACCAGACCCTTTACCAGGTGGGAGAGAGGGGGCACAGTGTAGCATTAAACCGTACTGGGACGATCAGACCCTTTACCAGGTGGGATAGAGGGGGTGTTGAACCGTTTTGGGAAGCCTGTATCAGGTCAGCGTGCTGTCATTTGGGGTAGATATTGGGTTGTATTTGCATTTCGATGCTTAGACGCTGCATCAGATTTGGACCAGGGGGCACAGAGGACCTTCAGACCTGTGCATGGTCCCTCTTTAGCTTAACTGGCCTGGAGCCTGGAACTGAGGCAAGGAACTTTTTTCAATGCGTGGGTAATTGCCAGACGTGATTTCGGTGTTTTCAGTTCCAAGTGCTGACGAAGCGCTGATTTGTTTTCAGGAGACCAAAATGATCATGGCGGCTCTGTGCCAGCACATCACATACAACGAGTTTCTGCCAATGGTTCTGGGCAGGGAGGTCATGGAACGCGAGAGCCTCATCCTAGGAAAGGTAATGGAAATGGGTAAGGGGCCGAATATGACAGTTGTCTTCCTGTACCTATTCTTTCCATGAGATCTGCAATACGGGAAAACTTGTAACAAATAACCAATGATTTGCGCCCATGATCTAGTGCTGGGCGCAAAATGACCTTGTAGTCGGCGCGCCCAAAATAACAAACAAACAATGATCTAGTAAATTTATCTTAGGAACAATATTTTATGGTGACGTGAGTCAGCATTTGTAAGCCACTACCACTATCCACTCCTCCTCCAGTAAACCCGTCGTAATATTACGTTTGTACCCTCCTCCCACCACAGGGCTACAAGTACGACCCCACGCTGGAGGGCAGCACGGCTCTATCGTTTGCCACGGCCACATTCCGGTTCGGCCACTCGCTGCTGCCTGCCGTGGTCGAGCGCTGGTCGGTGAGCAGAAAATACATCGGTGAGTCGTGACCGTGACCTCGTGTGACAGTCACGGAAAGTCGGCGCATATAGCGCGGAGGGGGACAACACCCGTGCAGACTGCACAGGACTGGCGTGACATGAGGGAGCGGCGGGGGAGGGGGGCTGCTGGTGATCGGTATTTACTGTTTACCCTCACGGTGCTTATCAACCGCTACTGTTTCAGTAGGTAATTTTATTTTTTATTTATGTTAAAAGTTGTCATCATTGTCTTTCTGTCGTCTCCACATGAACGATGTGTTCCAAAATAAATGCTGAGCTCCCGGCCGTTTGACTTAAAATCTTACACGAAAATTAATAAACCCGTAAAATCTTTCGCTAAGGACAGGCCGACTTTCAAAACGTTGCTCATGTTTTCGCTACAATTTTCGTGCTTCCTTCCGACAGACGCATGTAACTCACAAATCCACCCTTCCCCCTCCGACACTCATCTAACCCCCTAACCCCCACCCCTCCACATCCGATACCCATCTAACCCCCTGACCCCCACCCTCTCCCCCTCCGATAGGCTCCCGTCGACTGAGCGAGCTGCTGCGCCAGCCTTACGACATGTACCGGGGCGGCTTCATCGACCAGTACGTCATGGGGCTCATCAACCAGGTCGCCCAGGCCATGGACAACCTGGTCACACAGGAGGTAAGAACAGCCCACAATATTCGAGGGAGGAAGTGAAGGCAAGAGAACATTCACATTCGTATTGCGATTCATTCCTTCCATGATATGTACTAGGGTTGACTATTAAGTAATGGAAGTGCCCTAAGCAATTAAACGTTATTGCACGTGCACATATTTTTTGGGTGTCATTTCATGCGCCGATGTTTTTTCTATTCAATGGTGAAGACCACATGTCCTTAGCTACTTCTTGCTCCAAGCTATCGTCGTTTTCCCAAGAGACCACCCGAACCTGCGGCGCACCATGAAAAAGGAGTCTGGCAATGGCCAAATTCGCGCGCCAAGCGCCACCGCGAGGTCATCAGAGCTTATTGGCTTATTGTTATGGCTACACAATGGACAATTGCTATATTTTCATCAAAAAATACACATAGGCACGATAAACGACAGCATACACTACTCCACATTATCGCCTTCAAGCATCACACACCGTTCCAGCCTCGTCTTGACCCACTCCTGGAACGCCGCCAGAAGACTGATCGGTGCTTTCTTTCTCAAACCGATGAAACCACCTACATATCGTCTGTGGGGAGGCTGCGTCGCTCCATACACTTACAAAAGAAATTTTCTGATCTTGGTAGGCCGTTTCCCTACGACAAACTGAGCACTAATGACCTTACACTCGGCGCTGGCGCGCGGTTTTGGCCATTGCCAGGTGGTGCGCCACAGGTTCGGGTGGTCTCTTCGGAAAACGACGATAGCTTATAGCAAAAAGTAGCTAAGGACATGTGGTCTTCACCATTGGATAGAAAAACATCGGCGCATGAAATGACACCCAAAAAATGTGTGCACGTGCAAAAATGTTTAATTGCTTAAGGCACTTCCATTACTTAATAGTCAACCCTAGTACATACATTGTACATAGTTACTTGCAGTAGATATTTTCGCAAAAAAGTAGATGTTTCCGCAACTTATGCTTATAGCAAATGCATAAAAGCAAAATTGGGCACATGTTTGCATAATACTGAAAAAAGCATCTATATTTTTGTCATTTTTATTTTTTGGTGGCTTGCATGATGTCATAGCATATGGCACTCTGCACCGTTTCGTCACCTTCTGCTGGGTCGCCAGTGTCACAGTGTATAAGCTATTGTATGACGCTGCATTGTGCTGCATTGAATCAAGAGAGAGAGCGCCGTGTGTCCCGCCCGGTCACAGTAAAAACTGCCCCCCCCCCCCGGCCCTGTTTATGACAAGCTCCCATCGCGGACGTTGGTATCAGTGTGGTGGACGGCCAAAAACTAGTCGGTTGCGTCCCCAGGCCGCCAAAAACCAAACTTTGCCAGCTGTCGCTTCTGTCGCTTTGCGCAAAACAATAGTATCTGGCCTGATAACTATGTCAGTGATAACAGAAGATGTTCGGTTTTCCTGACCTGTCACGACCTTGTCTTTTAATGACTTTAGCGACAAGATACTGATAATTTTATGTTATCTCGGGACTGGGGCGGAGTTATTGGCTCTCTAAACTTTCCTTTTAGCACGTTGTAGGTAGGGGAGAGTCGGACACATTCGTGCAAAAAAAAAGGATAAATCCATATATCTGCTCTTTGGTTAGTGCAACGGCAAAATTGTTGATTGTAGTATGGAAAGAAATTATTTCAGATAGTTTTCCTCTTTAACAGCTATCCTCTAAAATTATTGCTTCTATTAGAAAAAATGACTTTTAATAACTCTGAACGTTTGCACGAAACTGCCCCACCTATGGGGCACTTTCGTGCAAAGGATGGGGCACTTCCGTGCACCCTGCAAAGTTCGAGCAATTACCGGGCATTACCAGAAAATTACCAAGAGAAATTGGCAGTGGGTCATTTCACTTGATTCCTTTCGACAAAAATGCATTGCACAACTATTTAGAAAGAAATGGGTTGGCCAACAAGAATATGCCAACTGCCGGCCTCCGTGACCTCGCCAAGGTCGCGTGAATTACTTGTCACGACGTCGCAAGCAGCCGAGACTGAGTCAGGCGAGCGTCATTAGTGAAACCTACTACAGATAAAGTCATAAATCACAAAAACGAAAAAAAATATGCACGAATGTGTCCCTAGGCAGTGCGCACACGAACCTGCCCTACAACGTTACTTGTAATATATTTCAAAATTTCTTGTTGAAAAAATTACACTTTTTCAACAAACAAGTTTGCAGCGGTTCCGTGAATAGAGTGAGCTTCTTCGCCCCCAATTTTGAAAAGCTGAACCACATTTCCGAGTCACGATCACAAAATGGATGATATGAAAAAAGTTTGGAAAGCGCACGAATATTACAAATCTGCGCTTTTATCAAGCATGACAGCAGGTACAGTGTTGTCTTCTACAGTGAACGAAGAGCGGCAATGATAGACATATTTCCATAATTTACCTTGAGCTCGTGCAGTCACTCGTGTTCCCATAAACTGCTGAAAACGAATGTGCCCCATGCACGAATGTGCTCCACTCTCCCCTATGTTGGAATATTGGTGTAAATAAAGGTCAATAAAACGTGACGGTCATAAATATGATGGCTACATTTTTCTTTTGAAGACGGTATTGCATGCCGAAAGGCAGTGCAAGGAATAGGCAAGGCAAGGCAACAGTGATATAATTTATGTCATAAATGTCATTTTGCATACCATTTGCTAGTACGTGCTCGCTGTCTCATCACAAGCTGACTCCGGATATCCCACACGAAACGGCCATGACCCGCTGACACCGACCCCCCCCCCCCCCCATCCGAAGACGGGACTGTGACCTTGTGACCCCGATACCCTCAGGTGACCAACCACCTGTTCCAAATGCCCGAGAACCGGTTCGGCATGGACCTGGCCGCCATCAACATGCAGCGAGGTCGCGAGCACGGCATCCCCGGCTACAACGACTACCGCGAGTACTGCGGCCTGCCGCGTATCACCGACTTCAGTCAGCTGCACGACCTCATGGTCAACGATACGGCTCTGGGCTACCGCGCCATCTACAGGTCAGCGCCGCGAGGCATGACACTACGACAGCAATCTGTATGTTTGTGGCATGAATGAAAAGTTAAAAGCTGGTATTTTTTAATTTAAAATGTTGTTACTGCCACATATCAATTCCTCATGCGGAACAAATGGCTTTGGCAGTGAGTCGCAATTCGCACACGTCCCTGTTAGTTGTGTAAATAAACATAAAAAAGACACCATCCCTGTTGATTTACGTAGATAAACCTAAACAAGGCATAGTCTGTTCTTTTTTTTCGCTGACCGCGCCTGTGCCTCTGACAGCCACCCGGACCACATCGACTTGTGGTCGGGGGCGATCTCTGAGCGGCCGCTGGCCGGCTCCATGGTCGGCCCCACACTGGGCTGTCTGATCGGAGAGCAGTTCAGGACACTGCGCTACGGCGACCGGTTCTGGTACGAGAACCACGGCTTCCCCAGCGCCTTCACGCCAGGTGGGTGGAGCAGAGCTGTGATCGCTTGTCACTTTGGTGTGATAGAGGTGATGGCTTGTGATTCGGGGTAAACCCGACTCATTGCGGAATGAGGTAAGTTGATGACATGTTTAATCATGTCAAACTCGGCATTTTGCATTTGTATTTATATGTACTTTATTTGTTAACAAAATAGGCCTCGTAGCTCGGTTTTGCCATTCGACTGACATAAGATTTTTTTTCGCAGAACAAATTGGGGAGATCAAGAAGATGAAGCTGAGCAGCATCATTTGTGACAATTCGGACCACATCGACTACATTCAGCCTTATGTGATGGTCCTGTCCGATCCAGAAATGTGAGCTGACCTCGTAATCAATCAAAACTGTAACGCACATTTGAGAAAAGTTCTTTTCAAACATAATTACTTAGAAATAAAATCATTCGAAAATGACGTTATTACGTCACTTTGCATAGCTATACCCTAGATATCCGTTTCTTGAAGCATACTTGTTTGTAATAGCTGCACCAAAAAGTCCGGCTGTGTTTATCATTATCAATACCCTGCGCCATGCAGTCTAATCCCACGGGCTAGTGCGTTAACCCATGCCTGTGAGCGCCACCTCCCTCCCTCCCCTCTGACCTCTCTCCCTCTGTCTGTCGGCAGTAACCCGCTGGTGCCCTGCGCCACTCTGCCCCGGCTTGACCTCAGTCTGTGGAGGGATCTGGGCGCCGCCGGACACGGCGAGTTGCTGCGTAAGAAGAAGTAGGATGTCTGAGAGTGTCAAGAGACGGCTGCCTCCCTCTCCCTTCCCTGCTGCTGCTGCTGCTGCTGATGCTTCTGTCGCCCCTGCCGACGCCTAGTGTTGTCTTTCTGTGATAAGCCGCTCCGTTGCAGTTTCCGATATGTTTCTAAAGGCGTTGCAGTCTCCACGATACTTTTCTTCATGTCCCGGCATAGTGCCTGTTTGACGATGAATTTTGCCGGATTGCGAATCAATTTTTGCTTTTCCGTCGCACTTAAACGGATCTCCTGTGAATATTGTTCTACTTTTCATCGCATTCTTTGTGAAATGTTTTCTAATGTTAGGTAAGTAATGGTATGTTCTTTACACAGATATTTGCGTGTGTGATTATACCGCCATGGTTTGACATCTGTACTTACCAGACATTTCATGCTATTTATCTCATATGTTCTGAGCGATGATTTTGCTAGCTTTGAGGCACATATGCTATTTTCTTTTCTTGCATAATCTGACACGTATGAAAGGGGAGAGGGATCAGACTGGATGATGTGGGCAGGGAGCGTTGGATTATGAGAAAGTCGAGAAATGCGCTGAAAGTCATCAAGGTATGCAAGTATTGTGCCTACGTGAAGAGAGATTGATAATGCTCAACCATACAATGAAGTGTGTGAGGCCAAGGCTGGTACACATCTGTGAATATTAACTTGAGATGCCAACTGACGTGAGATAATTATGACATAATGTATTGCCGCTTGGAATGAGATTGGAACTGGAAGTGACAGTGTGACGGCTAAATACAGTATTCATCGAACGTTTTTGTTCAGAGTGACCGAAATCCTTACAGCATTGTGAAGATATATTGGACAAAGACGACTTCTTATGTAGAGTGGATTATGGTCTATGGTTGTTATCGAATTGTTTGCCTTAAAGGCCATGCTGCTTCCAGGTAACGCTTGCATGGTGTGTTCTGTAATATGCATTACTTTTTTACAGAACGGCCATGTCGCATGACACAATCCATGATTGACACGTAACTATTCGAGTTGTTGGGAGTTGGGACTTCCTTTCTTATTTCATAAAGGAACACAATTCTTATAAAAACAGGTTTATTAGCCAACAATCTCGTTCGTAGCTATTTCACACTGGCGTTGATTACTGAAATGTCCGGCGAAATGACTGCAACTTATTCACAGAAACTGTAAATAAGGAACCCGGGCAAAAAAGCAACACTTCTTGACGGTAAAATATAAATCATATTGTGCTCAAAATTAACCATTGTTCAGACGTTGCATGCACTATTTGGAATAAATTCAGTGTCTTTATGGAGCATCATGTCTTGTGCCGTCCAATCGTAGCATCGAACGGATCTCGAATCACACACGAATAGCTGCCGGAAATGTTCCGATCACAAGCGTAACAGTCTGCTCAAGAAGAAGCCAAGCCCAACATCTTGTAACAGTACAACAGTTTTCAGATCTCTGGGCACAGGTATCAGCTTCAGTCAGCCCTACCTCTGAGATTGACCGAGGCTCTACCTCACGAGAGCAGTTTTTTAAGCCACAGCTACCCTGCACCAGTCGTCACCCTCTGATGTAGACTTACATCGCTTATAGGCTGGACAAACGACTGGGTATCAGGCGCCGATCCTTCACAGCGCACTTTGGACATTTCTAGTCGCTTTCGTCGGCAGTGATGGCTATGGTGGGTCGAACGGCGGTGGGCGCCGGCTCGGCGGGCCCGCTGTGGACCGCAACAGTCACCGGCTCTGGAACAGATCAGAGACACTGTCAGAGAGTGTGTGTGGAACGGGAGACGCATCCCACAGACACCGGCTCGGCAGCCCCGCTGTGGACAGCAACAGACACCGGCTCATAAATGGAACACAGAGACTGTCATATCGACACTTTTTTAAAAACCCCACATCTGCTCTCCCGTGAATTTCCGGGAGGCACGAAAGATCTCCTTTTAAAAGTGTCCAATCGTCCGATCCTGATCAAATATGTGTGTTCGTAGGCCTGTTCTGGTATTGCTTTATCTGCCAAGACAGACAAACTTGAGAAAAATCGAGTGATTGTACCTTTTTTGAAGGTCTCTAACCAACTTGTGTGAAATTCACCGGAGAACAAATGTGGGGTTTAAAAAAAAGGTGTCGATATGCTCTGTAATACAACACATAGACCCTTGGCAACTGTGGAACACAACACGCAGTTATGCATAAACACAGTCAAAAGGCCTGCAATACAGCACATTCACCCAGTAAAAAGTCGAGTCACACCAGAGCAATTAAAACTAGTGCACATTTCAGCGAGAGCTGATGGCCAGAGAGGGTGATATAGTCGTAAGTACCGTAACGTAATTATCGACGGAGATTCACAACTAGTAAATGACACATCTAAGTCCGCAATGAAACTCAATGTTAGATGCAACCATGGTCTTCGATCAATGTAAAAAGAAACTGAGCATCACTTTTTATTTACTCACCTTTACCGAGATCGTCATAGCCCTCGTCTCCCGGCTGAAACAGGCGAAAACGGAACATTAAGTGCGCAACTTCAAACGGTCGTATCATATCATCTGCATCTGATACAGGTAGTAACATGATATTGATAAGTTTATTCCAAATGAGTAGCAAATGTTAAAAAAGCTCTCGTCCTCCTACACTCGTTGACGTTGTTTCCGCATCTTTTTGGCCGCCCACTGACCAGAGTCAAGTCAAAACCCCGTTGGGTGGAAACTACATCCCCATATGCCATCCCTCTCCACCCTCAATATAAGCAATCTCCTTCACCTCTCTCTCCTCTCTCCGAGCCAGAGCGACGCATCGCTCGCCACGTCTCACCTGAAGAAGCTCCTCAGATACCACCTCCTCTGTAATGCTGCCGTCCGCGTGTGTGTGGATGCGCAGCATCTGGCGGACCCGCACCTCCTTGCGGACCGGCTGTTCCAGCTGCACATCCAGCGGCACCTCCTCCGACCCCTCCAGCCTCACTTCACCCGACTCCTGCCCGGGAGGAGGGGGCGGCGGCGGCGCTCCGCCCGGTCCCGCCGTGTGCTCCCCAGACGGTGGCGAACCCTTTTCGTCGCCCGGTGGCGCCACCTGCGCCGGGTCGTCGGCGGTGACTGACTCTGTGGTCGCGGCGAGGACCGTGTCGTCGCCACCCTCTCCGCCGGGCGGCTGCGGCGGCTGGGAGCTGTCCAAGGGCTCCGAGCGGTCCACCACCACCTCTGCAGGGCGGGCCGGCGGCGGCTGAGGCGCCGGAGGGCCTCCTGGTGACACCATCAGAGGACAGAGGTCATCAGAGGTCACCGGAGTCTGGGTCACTGAGTCAGTGTGGATCGAATTCTACACAGCCTTCTGATGGTGCGTGGGCTTCACAGAACCTACAAACTTACGGTACATGGTCGCAGAAATTGAGGTTTGTCATCAAAAGCATCCATCTTTTCAGCACTAGGAAGACACCTTTCATATCACCGAAGGTAGATTTATTTAGGTCGTCCCCCAACAAACAATAGGTCACAGTCCGATGGATAACTCACCGTAGGAGACGGCTCCGCTCTGAATGTAAACCAGCGTCCCCAGGAGGCCGACGCCCGCTACCAGAAGGAGTACTACCACGGCTGAGGCGCAGGTGCCGCCACCTGCAGGCGAGTCTTCCAGCTCCTCATCACCCGAGTGGTCACTGCCGACGTCTGAAACGACAGGAAGCCATGAGATGGCTGAAGGAGCCATTCTGGAGCGTTATTCAGTTTGCGTGGTAATCGATTGACTGCATGGGCTCAGGTGTCGGTGGGACTGACACTTGTTTCTTCAGTAGTGTACCACAGTACACAATCTAAAAGATGAAATGGGCGCCGTCGATTGATTCGCCTCTTCCCTCTTCTGTGAAAATGCGAAAAACCCTAAAAACTGCAAAAGGCCAAAACATCTACAAACACCACAATCGGAATGGGTATCAATAAAACTTATTATACCATACCTATTTCTGTTTCTGTTTTTCATTTCTCGTATAAAGCGGTAATAGAAGGGAGTAGAGGAGAGGGGGAGGGGAGAGGAGGGAGGGGAGGGGAGGCTCCGTCACGGTCTGTGCGCCTCCTCCCTCGCCAGCACGGGACACGGTCCGCCTGGCATCACTCTGCAGCCAGCTGCCGGCCTGTCCGATACTAACATACTCGTACAGTAGCCGAACCGGCAGCCCGCGCCGCCCCCCGAGACCACGAGACAATTCACAATTTGCCGGCCGACGGGAATTCGTGACAAACTTCGCTTGTTGTTGCATTAAACGTGCTGCCGCCGTCAATGTGGCTAGTAAAAATATTTAGGATATTTGATTCTATAGAATATGCCTCGCATTTTCTACATACGCCCGGCCGAGGGAAGGGTACCTAAATCTCCTCGCCGTATCAACCCAATTCAGGCAGTGCCTCGCAGAAAAAAAAACGAGCGAGAGCGCTAATACGATACGCAGCGACTGGTAAGTGGTATATGATGTTAGGGTTTCAAGTAAACTGGATACCTATGAGGTCACTGTCAAGTGGGTGCTCTATGATAGGGGTTCGTTTTTTATTACTTTGCCAAAAAAAGTCGCAGAGTTACGATTTTTGGAACCAATTTGCTCACCATGGTCAGGCTCGCAGCATGAATACTTTTGTTTGGGCGAGGTCAACTAAGGGTGTTTATATCAGGTCATGGTCAGGTCAAAGTCACTAAGGTCACAATCTTGGTCGAATGAAGTCATATTGGACATCATTCGATTGGCCAGGTCTTGCCGACTTAAATGGCGGCTTTCTCGACTCACTAGCTCAAGTTAATCGATAGTTGTTCACGAAACATTAATCCGATGACCTTAATCGTGTTGATAAAGTCATACCGATATGACGTCATCAAGTTCAACAATGCAAGCAAGCACCGGACATTGCAAGGAGTGTATGAAATCAAAATTGCATTGCCTGAGGTTGGGATAGGAAGTATAAGCTCTTTTCCACCGCCAAAATAACAGTTTCATATTTCCTTCATTGACCTATACTTGTGACGTCAAGTGACAAACCTGACCTCCGGTGACCCATTTAAAAATTCAGACATAAATGTTGTGGGGACTCGAAAACTCTAGAGTTCCTGTGAATTTCATTTCAGCACTGAAAGCGTTGCGAAGTTGCGACAAATTTTCAACCTAGTGTAGAAGTTATGACATTATGATGTCATAGGCCAGTGACCCGACCTGACACTGCGGCTGAAGCCACAAGACCCTCTAAGCCCTCTAGATTTTTCCGTTATAATTTTTGAAGGGTCTCGTTTCGAGCTCAGCCTCGTACCTAATTATCCAGAGAGCTGACGCTATACCTAGGTAAGGTACGCAAACTTGTGTTACAGCGCCAAAAATACCTATAATAAGGGCATGCCAGCGAGCTTCTACAGGGTGTTTCACTAAAAGTGTCAAAAAGTAAAAGGTCATAATGCACATAATAACAATGTTGTCTACGGAAATTTGCATACCATTTCATCCGCAATTGTTGGACATTTGAATATATAAAAACGATAGCACCGTCACTCAAACCTATTCCACATATCCGCCCCTTCTTTTGATGCACCGTTTCGGCACGTGTCCGGAGGTGCCTCACAGCCCGTTTTCATCTTCAGCGTCCAGACTGTCGGCAAAGCCTTGAATGGTGCTCTTCAGCTCCCGAAGTGATGCGACTTGAGTCTTCCTCAGCTCTGCGAGAGCTACTGACCAAAACCAGAAGCAAAACGCTGACAGATCGGGGCTTTGCGCTGGCCAGAGGCGGGCGGCGAGGCAGCTGATTTTTCGGTGCAGGAACTTCTAATCCAGCCAGTTCCTGGTGGTTACAGCCATTATAGTGGCTGTTTTTGATAACTTGTAAGGCCTTGGCTATTTCTGATGTTGAAATTAGCTTCTTGTTATCTTCAAAGACCCTCAAAAAGACCCTGACCTTTTCAACGGTTTCCGCCGAGAGGTGGGGGTTGTCAGTCCAAAAACGTCTTTTTTGGACTGCGACCGGCATCGAAGGAACCCTTTTAAACCTCTCAAGAAGCCCTTTGAACCTTTTATAATCTGGAACGTAGCGAGGTGAGAGAATAAAACGTTTCCTGAAAAGTCGGCATACGGTTTCAATGTTTCTGATGGCACCAAAGGTAAGTGTAATTCACCCCTCCTGTTGAGGTGTAAATAACCTGTTCTTGTTCTGCATAAGGAAAAAAACGACTAGTAACTTTGGCCTCCTGCCCTCGCTCCGTATGAGTGTAAAATATATCTTAAATGGACAAAGCATAAATGTCCAAAAATTTGCAACCAAGCCACGTGCGCAACCACGTGATTTGCATATTTTATGTAACTTTAATAGGCATTTACTTTTTGACACTTTTAGTGAAACACCCTGTAGCTGACCGACCATCATGACCGTCACTCTCCATTGCAGCTGTTGCAGGCGCCTTTCATGACAATTATACTTCAGAGGCTGCCACTCAAGTGACAAAATACATTTACAGGGACAGAGAACACATGTGAGCACGAAGAACACCTGAACTGAACTAGCACAGTCCTGCCGAGTTCTGCAGCTGTTCAAATCGAAAGCCCGCTGCTATTACAGCTGAGCATCACGTGTTTATGGTGTTCAAATGAGCGTCAAAAACGTCTTTCAGAACGTACAATGCAAAGACCGTGGGACAGTCAAAAGTGCACCACATCGGTGATCCTCTGGGTAACCGGGACCAGAAACTTCATCTCGTGGACAAAAAGGTAACACTGGCTCGGCGGGTTGGTTAGGCGGTCATCGAGCTGTGCTATCTACGGGCAGAGCGTGGCAATTATGTACGAAGCAATTCAACATATCAGGAGCTAATTGGCGTCCGCATCGATTTGCTAAAGAGGCAATAGGGGAGAGTGGGGAAAGATGCCCAGGGTTTGACTATGTCATATATTATTCGAAAATGACGATCGGAAAGCCAAAACTTGGGCTGGGGGGATCCAGAGCGTCGTAAGCCTCGTCGCAGCTGCGACGTGTCGCAAGTTGTGTAGTAAGTCGTTTTTGGAGGGATCAATTGATGAGTAGCGTTACTTAAGAAGTAAAGTCTATCGCAAAGTGCCTGATTTACGACACAACTTACGAATTTGAAATAGCAGTCGTAAGTTGTGTCGCAAGTTGATATGGCCTTGAGGGAGAGGTCACAGGTCACAGGTCATTGGGGTCATGGTCACGAAATTTGCATGGTACGTGGAAAATTGTTGAAACTTGAGATCCTGAAAATTTCGTTGCAATCCGTTGCCGCTAACGCGAGTTATAAAGCAAGAACCAACGGTTCGTCTATGAGGCCTCAATCCGCGCCAGCGAGAGTGTTGAACATGGTGCATAATATGTTGTATTCACATTTATTGGGGTATTCATGGATATGAAGTAGCCTAACACCATTCCAGCAACTACTGGCGAATCCAGAAAGGCGGTCTTGGACGTTGCGAGGGGCATCCCCCAAAAGATTCTCCAAATTCTAAAAACGATGTGTCCCTGATGAACCCCATGACCTCGAATTGATCTCTGTGATGACCCCAAGTTGACCTCTGTGACCTGACGTGTCCCAGATGACCTCCAATTGAGCTTTGTGATGACCCCAAGTTGACCTCTGTAACCTGACGTGTCCCAGATGACCTCCGTGACCTCCAATAGAGCTCTGTGATGACCCCAAGTTGACCTCTGTGACCTGACGTGTCCCTTGATGACCCCCATGACCTCCAATAGAGCTCTGTGATGACCCCAAGTTGACCTCTGTTACCTGAAGTGTCCCAGGTGACCTCCGTGACCTCCAATTGAGCTCTCTGATGACTCCAAGCTGACCTCTGTGACCTGATGTGTCCCAGATGACCTCCAATTGAGCTCTGTGATGACCCCAAGTTGACCTCTGTAGCCTGACGTGTCACAGATGACCTGCGTGATCTCCAATAGAGCTCTGTGGTGACCCCAAGTTGACCTCTGTGACCTGACGTGTCCCAGATGACCTCCAATTGAGCTCTGTGATGACCCCAAGTTGACCTTTGTAACCCGACGTGTCCCAGATGACCTCCGTGACCTCCAATTGAGCTCTGTGATGATCTCAAGTTGACCTCTGTGACCTGACGTGTCCCATATGACCTCTGTAACCTCTAAGTGACCCCTCTGATGACTCCAAGCTGACCTACCTGACCTGATGTGCCCCAGATAACCGCCATGACCTTCAATTGAGCTCTGTGATGACCCCAAGTTGACCTCTGTAGCCTGACGTGTCACAGATGACCTGCGTGATCTCCAATAGAGCTCTGTGGTGACCCCAAGTTGACCTCTGTGACCTGACGTGTCCCAGATGACCCCCAATTGAGCTCTGTGATGACCCCGAGTTGACCTCTGTAACCTGACGTGCCCCCAAGTTGCCTTCTGTGACCTGACGTGTCTCAGATTACTTCCGTGGTCTCCAATTGAGCTCTGTGATGACCCCAAGTTGACCTCCGTGACCTGAAGTGTCCCAGATGACCTCTGTAACTTCCAATTGTGACCTCAATCTCCAACTCTACTAACTCTCTGTGACCTCATACTCGCTTAACTCATTTCTTCTAAAGCATCGCTTCTAGATGCCCTATAGCGCCACGAATCTCCTGTGATCGATCCCAAAATTCATGGCAACTCACGTGAGCGTAAGCAACCACAAGTCACCCAGTTGAGACAAAGCTTCCGAATCAGAGAACATGCTTGAACTGGCTGTCTCATAAGCTCGCAAACCAGAAGGGCGAATGTTCCTTTATGCTTGATAGAGTTTTCGACCTTACTGACGCTTACTACGGGATCAGCTGATCGTGTAGCCTTTTAAATTCTCGAGTAAAGCGGGTATTTAAACCTTGTCGCAGCTACGTTCTGTCGTATCCTCCGACAAACCCCTCTTTCCTCAACATCCCTCCTTTTTCGCTACGACACAACTTGCGACGGGACATGTGTCGTAACTTGCGACGTGTCGTAGATGGACTTGCGACGCCCTGGATCCCCCCGGCCTTGGAGTTTCAACGGAAGCCGACATCATTTTTCTCCAAAAATATCACACTTTCGTGCCTGAAATATGATAACTTTTTTTGCTATTAAGCATTTTCCTGAAGAAGTGAAAGGGGGCATCTTACCCCACAGGGTGGAAAAGACGCCCCCTGGCGTTGGGTAAGATGCCCCCTGCACTAAAAGTGACATAAATAGGCACGTGAATCGCCTGAACGAATCAGTAGTCCCTTTGAGCCTGCGGTAGACACCAAACGTCATCGTAAGGGCCCTCAAAAGTAGTCGTAAGGGGCTTCAGAGGTCATTGTTAGGGCCATCATAGTCCAGCGTGGCCAAACAAGCCTCCGTGGTGGCGTTCAGAGACCACTGTGGGGCCCTTATAGGTCTTCATGATGATTGAGGGCCCTCGAGCCCATCGTGGGGACCTCAGATGCCAGCGCGGCCCGTGGAGCCAACGTGGGAGCCCTCAAAGGATGTCGTGAGGGGCCCTAGAACCAGTAATGGGGCCCACAGAGGCCGTCGTGAGGGCTCTCAGAGTCAGATGCCGCCCAAAAAGTCGCTGTGTGGGCCGAGAGACCGGCATAGGGAGCACCCGACCGTACCGGACTCTCAATAGTCCCAGATCGGCTTTTGTCTCTCATCATAAGTATGTAATAAATGATTTGACGGGCTGATTGAAGGACAGCCTACGGATTTAGGGGGGCGTCTTTCCCCATCAGGACAGGGGGCATCTTACCCCAAGGTACCGAAGTAACATTAAATCAGCACAATTTGTTAGCCATAAAACTACACCCGGAAACAAACTGTTTGGGACACAGTACACGCATGTTAATGTATCACGACTATAGCAAGGGACGCAAAAATTATCTACCTTCTTTGATATTTACAATGTTTTGACGCCAAAATATTTTTTGAAAGCAGCAAATAAAAAACATGCAATCACCAGCCAGCCGTTGCCCAACTGAGCTTCGCAAATTTTTGTGCAGTTAACAAGGCAGGCTTCCGCTTTACGCTAAGAACATTAATTTCCAGGTTCGATTCTTTGTTTCCCCGCTAGAGGGGGTGGGGCGTCTTTCCCACCCTGGGCATCTTACCCCACTCTCCCCTATTAAAAAAAAAAAATCACATCGAACAACAAAACACAACCTGGAACATATAAAATCACGTAGAAATCGGTGTCACGTTCATTGTTCAATGCATCACCGTTCGAATACTTACAATGCAACACCACATATCAGACAACTAAGCCTGACACAAGACCCCGAAAGTTGCAACCCGTTCGTAACCCTCGACGTTTCCTTTCGTCACCCTCTCCCCTCCCCTAAAGCCACGCCCCCCGAAGCTCACCTTTTCCTTTCTCCCTGATCTTCCTCTTCCTGGGCTGGGTTTCTCCGGCCATCCCTCTCACAGCCCCTCTGGTCACGCTGCTCTCTCACCCCTCTCACCGTCTTCTCACACCTCTCACACTCGGCGCCGCACGCAGACGACTGCTCACCCGCCCCTCAGCCGGCGGGTCGAGAAGCGCCTGACCTTGAGACCGGCCGGACGGGCGGCCAACCGACTCGGGCACCGCCACGTCTGCTGGCCACGTCACTCTGTGACGTCATCCTGCAGTCGGGGAGAAGGCGGAGTGGCTGGAGCGGGCGGGGTGACGTCATAATGGCGTCAGAGGTGCACGGAGAGCGGCGGAGACGGGCGACTTTCTATCGCGGCGGTCTGGTAGGCCCCGGCGCGGGATCTCCCGATCTCAGTGAAGACGGTTTGGGAGAAACTAGCCCGAAGTTACGAGGAAATCAGCCCTAATGACTCCGGAACTTAACCCGCGACCTGGTGGGGGGGGGGACTATTTTTTGCCCCCCTCCAGACTTTTCGATATATCTCCAGAACCGCTGCGCCGATCGTCACCAAACTTTCAGTACCCTCCCGGATATCAATTTTACACATTGTGACCAAAATGTTTCCAAAGGCTATGATAGGTTGGCCGGAAATGACGTCAGAGTGACGTCATGTTCTGCCGTTTTTGACCCAAAAAAGGGTTTCGCGGGAAGAGCTGTCAGGCCTATAGCTTTGCAAATACAGAAAAATGATTGAGACATAAAAGCTGAAGAATCGACAGGGATACAAAACTGTTATCTCGGATTTTTGAAATTTTTGGATTTTGACCCCCAAAAATCAAAAAATAAGTTTTTTGGATATAACAATCAAAAAATCCAAAAAAAAATTGAATTTCGCAAAAACCGGAATATATGTGATAGTCCTTTTTTTTTTTTATCGTATATTCGTTCAATCAGACGAGTCCCACAGGGAACACACAGCTGACACATCAGCGAACAGTTCCCTGTCCTCACGACGCACAATGGAGGACAGAGGCGGGTAAAAAAAAACTGTCCCGGTGACACTTGAGCGCTGGAACGCAGTCCCAGTTCTCATGACACGCGGAGTAAACACGAAAAACAAGAACGGTAAAAAGAAAATTGCCCGATACAGCTCAAACCAGCACGGGCGGCGGCGGCGGCAGACGCGCTAGCGGGCGCCCCGCGAAGGGCGGCCAGGGCACACGGACCACCAGGCAGCGGCTGCCACCCAGCGCCAACCACCGGCCCCCCGCCGACGACCCGCAGCGACCGAGACGTCCCGCGAGCGCAGGCCGACCAGAGAGTGCTGGAGAGATTGGCCGGCCAATAAGGATGGGTAAAGAAATCTAGGATGTAGGTTGGTTGTGTGCGGAGGGAAGATTCTGTGACAGAATATTCGAGACGTTGCCCCACTTGGACAAAAACTTGTCAGTAGACTTATGCCTTAAAAAGAATTTACTTTCATTTTCAGCCTCTCTTTTAAGTATGTGATGAAAATGATGTATGCTGGGAATCTGAGTGTTATGTCTTGCCCTAAATATTACTTGTTTTGCTAATGTGAATATTAATATATTTATTTCGCTTTCATCCGCTAGCCTTGGAAATATCCACGACTGCACTGAGATATTTACTATAAAATTGTATTCTTTTCGAAAGTATGCTACTATATCTTTTATAAAGTCTTTTACTATTCTACATTCCCAAAGTATATGACATAACGTTTCATCACGCTCGTTGCAAAAAGTACAAACTGCACTTTCTGCTTTTCCAATACGATACAAAAAAGTGTTTGTAGATATTATTCTATTTATTATACGATAATGGAACGTTTGTAAGTATGTGTTTCTAGTCGCATGGCGAATATCATACATCGTGCCCTCATGCGTACACCCTATATCTCTATTCCATTTACGCTTAATATGATTTTGCGTTGACTGGTTTGTTTCTCGTTTTAACAGGGCAGAAACGAATTCATTATATGCTAAGCGTGAAGTGTTTGTTTTCTGGGAGAGTAGCGCTATTTTATAAGGTATTATTGGGTAAATGATTTTACAGGCAACAACAGTATTATCCACATGATGCGGTATACTTCTGGTTAAAGATTCATAGCATAGAAACGACATTTTGATGTTAAAGGTTTCACTTAGAGTTCGTTGTTCTAAAAATGATCCGCTATCCTTAGAATACAAATCTGCAACAAATCTCAAACCCTTTCTATCCCAATCTTTTACAATGCTCGTTTGGAATTTGCTGTGATCTGAATACCACAGCTTGTCCGTCAGAACGTTTTCTGGTGTTGTTCGGAAGACCGCACAAAAATCCGCCCAGGCGTTCAGCACATCTTTCCAAAATGTATTACGTAATCTATGATTCGAGATGTTTCTCAACTTCTCCGTGCCGTAGCAAACTAGTTCACAAATAGGAGGTAAAGTTTTCTTGATTATGTTAGCCCATACAACATCAGATGTTGACCAATATAGTCTTTTTATCCAGTTAACTTTTAGGCTCTTTATAAACGACCTAATATCGACCATTTTCAAACCCCCGTGATCGTAATCTTGTACCAACTTGTTTCTTTTAACTTTATCAGGACCATCGTTCCAGATATATTTGAACAATATATTATTAATGTAAGAAATGTCCTTTTCGTTTGGGGTTGGCAATGACGATACAATATGTACTAGTTTAGAAATAACCATTGATTTTACAACTGTTATCTTTCCTATCAAGGTGAGATTTCGTCGCCTCCATTGGGCTATTTCCTGTCTTACTTTAGGTAATACTTCAGACATATTTTTTTCCACGATGGTGTTGGTTGTATTGCAAAAGATTATTCCCAATACTTTCAGTTCGCTTACTTTCTGCAACCCTGACATGTTCAAAAACGAACAGTCAACTGTTTTGCCGATTTGAAGACATTTTGTTTTATCTATATTAACACGTAATCCAGATACTTTATGAAATATGTCTAGTTCATTTATTACCGCATTTATAGATTCCGGTTCCGCGCTTGAAAATACTATTAAATCGTCAGCGTATTGCGATAATCGTACTTCTAATCCTACGCCTATGGGTATCCCCTTCATCTCCCTCGACTGCATTAGTTGATTTGTTAGGGGCTGCATTATCATATTAAATAAATATCCAGATACGGGGTCTCCTTGTCGTATACCTCTCTCCATGTTGATTTTGGGACCTAAATATCCATTTAAAAGAATCCTAGAAAAGTTGCGAGAGTTTAGGTAAAATGTTTGGATCATATGAGCAAAATGTGGCCCGAAATTATAATAATTGAGAGCTTCTGCTAGGAACTCCCACGACACCGTGTCGAAAGCGGCTTCGAAGTCAACTGCCATTATGATACCGGAAGAGGATGAAGCATTCACATGTTCAATTACATCGTACACTAGTCGCGTGTTTTCCCCGATATATCGTCCCTTAATGTATGCCGTCTGAGTTGGGGATATCAAGTGATTCATTATCTTTTTAAGTCTATTAGCGATGGCTCCAGATATAATTTTGAAGTCAACATTAAGTAAAGATATGGGCCTCCATCCTTTTACGGAATCCCTTGGCTTGCCCTGTTTCGGAATAAGAGTTACTACGCTTTCTTGGTGAGACATAATTGCACTGTTATTTACCAGACCTTCTTTAAACGCTCGAAAGAGGAATATGCCTAACAGTTCCCAAAAATGTTTGAAAAAATCTGATGTAAAACCATTTGACCCCGGTGACCTGCCTTTTTTCATACTCATTAAAGCTGTTTGTAGTTCTTGTAACGATATTGGAGTGTCTAGAGCGATCCTTTGTTCGTCGGATAGCACTCGCTCGATGTGTTTTTCAAGGTATTCTTTTGTATTGTGCTTATTTATATTTTTTCGGTATTTCGTTTGCAAATGTTTTGAAAGATGTTCAAGAATATATTTGTTGTTTGTTATTTGCCTATCACCGTCTTGCATGGCAAGAATTGAATTTCTCATTGCGTTCCTCTTTTCTAAGGAGAGGAAATACTTCGAACATTTTTCCCCTTCTTCGAACCAGTTAACTCTGGACCGTGTTATTAATCCTTGTATTTTGGGTAATCGCATCTGCTCTAATTTAAGTTTCATCTCTTCTAATCGCTTTAAATTTTCTTCTGTTTCGTTAGTATTGAAACGAGCATTTAGTTCGTCTATTTCATTTAATATTATATTTTCCTCGCGTCTGTTTTTTCTCGCCTTTTGTTTTGAAAATCGTACGGTTTCCCCTCGTATCATCATCAGTAATGTCTCATAGAACAAGCCACAGGTCACTGTGAATTGAATATTGTCAAAATTGTTTGGGTCTGATATATATTCATTGTTATAAATTGGTAATGCATATTGCTTAACTGTGTTTATTGTTACTTTTCTGATAAGTTCGTTATATTCTTGATCTTCAAGGAGTGCGGCATTAAACTTCCAAAGACCAGGGCCTCTTTTCATAAGTGGCTCTTTGACGTTTAATGATACTATGTTATGGTCTGACCTATAGCCAGCGTGAATGTTGGATGATGCAATTGTACTGACAAGGTGATTCTGAATATATATTCTATCTAATCTACCGTACTTTAATGGATTCTTCTTAGCCCAAGTATATCCGCTGCTCAAAGGGTTCATCTCTCTCCACGAATCAATCAAGCTAAAGCGTTCAATGATATTTGAAAATGCACACTTTGCAGCCGGGTTGTTTTGACGAACATAGTTCGAATCACGCTGGAGATCTGCGACAAAGTTGAAATCTCCTGCGATAATCAAATTATTCGTTGGCAACTCTTCAAGCTTATTGTATAATGTATGAAAAAAAGCTGGTCGATCATCGTTGGGTCCGTATATCGCGACGAGTATATAGGTGTTGAGAAATATAGTGCACTCAAGTATCACAAAGTTTCCTTCCGTGCAATATTCTTCATGAAGTATGCTGTGCTGTACCTTTGTCTTAAATATAATCGATACTCCTCGGCTGTTATTTGTACCAAAGGAATGATAACAGTTGCCACCCCAAACGGTATTGAAACATTGTGCTGTTTTTCTGGTGAGGTGTGTATCCTGAATAAAATATATGTCAAAATCAAGATTTTTAAGAAAGTTTATAACGTCTCTCCTTTTCTCCTGACTCCCAAGGCCCCTACAATTATAAGTCATAAACTTAAGGTCTGCCATAGCTTAGCGACAAACTTAGAGTGAAGTGTGTACTTACTTGGGTGAACGGTGTGAACGGTGCTGTTACGCACGGGA